ATAATTAAAAATCAAAACACAAACCAAAAAAGTAACAAAACATACCATGGTAGCACTGTTTTCTCAGATATGGTACAATGGTAATACGTTTATATGTACTAGGGTATGTTTCAAGTACATTGAAATATTATGAAAATACCATGAAATGCAAATATATAAATCATTTAGTATAATGTACAAAGTCTTCATGATCGACTGATGTCTGTTTTTTTATGGCTGATATATTATTTCATACTATTTTATTTAAAGATAGTAAATAAGAAGTGCTGCAAAAAAACATAAAACTTCTAAATTAGAACTAAATAATTTGAAAATGAATCAATATGTTAAAAAAACAAATCAGCTAATGTGATAATTGAAAAAAATGCCAAATATCGGCCGATATATTGGACTAGGCAATATATTGGTCACTTATAGTTTATTTTACATAAAATTTACAAAATTAGAAATAAATTATTTGAAAAATGAATCAATACTTCGGGGAAAAAAAAGGCCAATGTGATAATTAAAAAAGCCAAATATTGGCCGATATATTTGCCATGGCAATATATCGGTAACTTCTATTTATTTTACATAATTTACTAAATTAGAAATTAAAAAAAAGATTAATTTTTCAAATTATTTAACAATCGGCCAAACAGAAAAATGTGTTAAGCTGATGCAATAATTAAAAAATGCCAAATATTGACTGTTATACTGGCCTTCTCAATATATCGGTTAACATGATTATAAAGTACTAACATGTATAAAGTGCATAACGTGTATTGACATCTGATCCCATATTACTGGCACAGAACTTTTCTAAAAGGCATGTAGTACTTTAAAACTCATTTTCCTAGAAGGTCTTAAACTTGAACCCTTTCAAACCCCTCAGATTCAGGCCTGGAGCTCTGTCACAAAGGACAGACAAAGAGCTTCTTCTTGGAGATCCATAAATCTCTCCGTTCAGGATTCAGCGTTCAGCTGTTAAACTTCTACTTAGACAAATAACCCCAGAAACGCTGTTCCCTGGGGGACTTTTAACCCTGACAAGGTCAAAGTAAAACACTGACCCCGTCTAAAAACATCTAGCGTGTCTGATTACGCCTGTGAAGACCAGAGCGTGAACTGTGAGAGTTTGCAGTGCTGGGAAACTGAATGAATGGAGAATGAAAGTAAATGGCTGTGACAACTAAGTTACACAACTAATAAACTCTCAGGTGAGTAAATACTTAGTGGCTCACTGATGTGTTTTTAATGATCAGTGACGAAAAGGGTTTGCTTCACTAACAAATTGGACATAAATACCATGCGTGCAAATGTTTTACTCAACATCTAGTCCATAAGTATGGAAGCATGTTTCCACCACAGAATAAAAAATAAAAAGGTAATTGCAATTTTTTTTAACCTCACAATTCTCATTTTTTTCCTCACAATTGCAAATTTACATCTCAGAATTCTGAGTTTACATCTCGCAATTCCAAGTTATAAATTTGCAATTGTGAGCGAGTTAATGCCTTTAATATTAAGTTAATATCTTTTTTTCTCCCAATTCAGACTTTTTTTTCTTGGAATTCTGAGTTTGCATCTCGCAATTCCAAGTTGTAAAGTTGCATTGTAAGCGAGTTAATGTCTTGCATCTTTTTTTCTTTCATAATTATGAATTTTTTCCCTCAGAATTCTGAGTTTACATCTAGGAATAACAACATTTTTATTGGAATTCTGAGTTTACATCTCGCAATTCCAAGTTATACATTTGCAATTGTGAGTGAGTTAATGTCTTGCATCATTTTTCTTTCGCAACACTCATATTTTTCTTGGAATTCTACATTTACATCTCGCAATACTGACATTTTTTCTCAGAATTCAGATTTTACATCTTGTAATTCTAACTTTTTTTTTTTCTTTTGGAAGTCTAAATCTCGCAGTTAGAGGTTATAGATTTGCAATTGTGAGCGAGTTAACTTTTTTCTCAGAATTGGAAGAAAAAAGTCAAAACTGTGAAATTAAAAGGTTGCAATTACATTTTGATTTTTTTATTCCATGGCTGAAACTAGCTTCATTACATAAGAGATTTAACAGCAGAGCTCAACTACAAAACTAGCTTTCACTCTAGTTTCCATGACTTTCAGGATTTCATTAGTTTCCATGACTTTTCCAGGCCTGGAAAACACAATCCCCTATATTTCCAAGTTTTCCACAATTGTGGTAAATGCTGCAAAGTGTTATGTCATCCATAACCACAAATACGCAAACAAAATGCTTTCCCTGGACCGACACAAGCATCATTTAGGGGTCATATCCTCCTGACTACAGCTATGGAGTTTTGTCCTCTGTAGAGGACATAATGTTTTAGCGATTTCTCTGAGACGTTACAGGTCACAGTTTTAAGTCTGGATGTCCTGTACAGAGCACATTCAGGGCTTTCCAGAGATACCAAATGATTGGATGTTTCACCGTGACCACTCCCTCTCTTTGGTCTTTAAAAATGGCTGACATTCATTTAGTGATCAAATGTAACACCCTAATGGAAATATGATAATATTTTGTAATTATAATTTAAATCTGACTAATTGACAAATTGTGTGTCATAAATCAACATCTCAGGGAAATGTTATGGGGTTTCAAATCAAAATATGAGCTTCTGTTATGAAACAGGACGTCGATTTCATACATGTCCACTGTAGAGGACACCAGGACTTAAAGCATGTTTATTACACATTTTGGGAGACACAACAAATTAATAGAGAAAAAATTATATATCAATATTCCTATTAAATATTAGATATTATTATGAAAATCTTGCTAATTATTACTCCCATTATTGCACTTATTTGTTCATTCTATGTTGCCCCAAAAACACATTAATATGCAAATTAGTTTGTAGATACATTGTACATAATGGCAAAACTCGTTTATGGCCTAAATATAATATAATTTGCATAAATAAAAACGGTTTTTAAAAATATCTTTCATAACATAGTTGAGAATCATCTTTATATAAAGTTTGGTATAAAAAAATTTAAATTGATTTCTGGTTAAAACAAAAATCCCACTCTTTTTGCCTTTTCATGTCTATTCATGTCTTTTTATTTTTTTAAAAACAGGACTTTTTAAAGTCCTGATGTCCTCTACAGAGGACATGGCATAACATGAATAAAATATCATTTTTCAAAATTCTTCTTATGCTCTAAACAATGTAATGACATGACAAAATACTAAATTCACAAAACAATTTTTTCCTGGTAGTCAGGAGGATATACAACAGATAAGATGTACAATTGTTTCACTAAATCAACACCTCATCATGTGTTAATCAAAGCGCTATAAGTCCAAACCAGAACAAAGTGCAGGCGCAGTAGACAAATACACAGACTTCATCAGAGACACTTGCAGTATGTCAGTTTTCATGCAAGACCTTCAGATGAATGCAACTGGAGAAAAAAGAAACTACTGATGAATGCAGAACATCCACAGACCAAAAAATATCAGTTTATATCTGCATGCATGTGGTTTTAATGCAAGCTTAACAGAGAGGGTTTGCTTTAGAAAACCATCTGCTTTAAAGAACCAAGAAACCAAAACTAAAAATGGATCTGAAAAACTTGTGAACTTTTCATCCATGCTGCAACTCAAGACAAAAATGTTTATTTTTATACTAAAGCAAATAGCCTTTATTTATAAGAATGAAAAGGAATTATTAAATCAGCAAAGCTAAGAAACAAGTAGACAATTAACTCCAATTTCAGAATTTTCACTGAAATGTTTTGAAGTTTTAAAGATGTTTTACAAGAAATGAGTTCTGATTAGCCTATCTGTATCTTGATATCATTCACTAAAGGTCATTGTAGCATGGTTTGCTAGCGTGCTTCTGAAACATTTTAGCTAATAAAAACGTAAATGTCTTTAACAGTGTTGGGGGTAACGCATTACAAGTAACGCGAGTTACGCGTTATTTAAGGCGTTTGCAGTTCATTCGCACCTCACAGACATGTATGTGTGTATTATTTCCCCCGGCTGCAGGTCCGAGAGACTCAAACACCGCAGAACCTCCAGCAGCGGGGGCGAGGGACTCCAGGTGGGCGGGGCTTAGCGACGCAAACTTGTTGCAAACGTCGAAACAAAAATGTTTCAATTTTGTAACGTTCACCTCGCGGTTTTAAGTCAATACATAAACAATCTCAGTGTTTTTGTTCGGCTGCAAATTATTATTTGATGGCGATGCAAGCGCGCAAAACACGACGTGCGTAACGTAATACGTGTTACTTTTCTCAGCGCTGATCAGGATGGACCAATCACAGCCTGCGTCCCAATCATCCTAAATTATACTAATTAGTAATTAGTCATTTTCAATACTATTTAGGGCAGTTAAGGTGGATAGTATGTACATTGGGACGCAGGGACAGTCTTTAATACAGTTTTAGATATTTGTATTCATAAAAGTTTCTTAAATATATTTATTTAAATCATTATTTTCTAAGCGTATAAAAACAAAAATATAAATTTTTTTCATTAATTGCATGCCCTTCGAATTGACAAACTTGAAATGTTTTCTTTCACATCGTACATTTTTCTTAAAACAAAGCAAGAGGAGAACATTAACACTTTAAATGTCATTGGAAGTTTTCCCAACGCAGTTTTTAACTACTAAGAAAAAGTTTAATGTTTTTATTTAGTTAACGTCGTGTTTATGGGGTGTTTAATGCCGTCCTGAGACTGTGTGTAGGGTGATGAAGACTTTCTCAAACTGAGAAAATCTTTAAAAACTGAAGGAAACGTTGTTTGCACCTTAACTCGCAAAACAGTTAAGGTTTTGTTGTTGCTAACCTAACTAAACTATACATTTAAACCCACACTTTTAATTATTAACACTAGTCTTCTCACTGAAGAGTAGAAATTGTGTGGACTTTAATTTTGAATCAATGGCGCCATCTGTGGGTCAAATAATAACAAGTTTCTAAAATCAAATCAAATCAAATCAAATCATCACAATTAAAAACATCCACACACACACACACACACACAGTCTGTACACATTAGTTTTATTGATACTGTCCATGATTAATAGTTTACACATCAGGCAAGTTTTTGATACACATTAAAAAAAAAAAGTCTATGTACAAATTTGCAGTGTGTGGGTATGATTTTTCACCATAAATGTCATTTCTGAATCCAAAACATCAGTTTACTAAACAAAAACAATATATAGTAATAAAAAAGAAAGAAAATAAAACTCCTAATGTAGCTAACGTAATGTAACAAAACAAGAGTTTACACAACAAAGAGCCATTAATCAATATCTCATATCTCAAACTAAAATATAAAACTAATTTCTAGATAGTAATGCAATGTTTACATGGCTTTAAAATTAACTGATGAGAGGCAGCATTTCAAATAAAAACAAAAAACAATCCAGTCTTCGCACAGCTGTATTGCAAAATAAAAGTACATGGCTCAAGAATCTTGATTTAATTTTTTGTGGTCATAAAAACTGGCTTTATTACACGCTATTGCAACACATATTCACCCCTGAGCAAAATCCAACAAGCTAATATATAAAGCAAAGGACAGAAATAAGAAAAGTGAAAAAGCCGCTGGTAATAAAAGTCGTTTTAAACTCAAAACAAGCAAATCAAACGAACTTTCTGCACAGTTTCCATCCCGTCTACTCAAAACAAGTGAAGAAATCAAATAATTATTGCATATACAAATGAATTTTTCACATCACGCTCCAGCAGTAAGAGTAGATGTCCTGTTAAACGGAGTTAATGCTCAGATGGGTTTGGTTGTGCTGTTGTAGACGAGTTTCTCTGAATCCTCATAGCTGTGAACATGACCACCGTTAACGGCCACATGCTGATGTTTGTTTCTGCGCTTCTTCTTTCCCTTCAGGAGGCAACATGCGATAACCACCAGCAGGACAGCGATGGCCAAGCCCAGGATGATGGCGATCACGATGGCAGCTGAACAGAGACACGACAGTCACGTTACATCAATGCATCTGAATATGTCAGCAGAGTCAAACAAAGGTACTATAAAGCAACACAAAGATCTACTGAAGAATTTTTCCCAAGGAAATTTAGTTTAAGGACACTAGTGCAGCAGAAATGACATTTAAATAAAACATTATTACACAAGCCAGAGTGGGGTTATTATTATTATTATTATTAACTAAAACTATAAAACATTTTTGGTTACTAAATGAAAAACTGTAATCATAATAATAAATGTATTATATATATTATAATATATGTGACCCTGGAGCACAAAACCAGTCATAAGGGTACATTTCTTGAAATTGAGATTTATGCATCATAAATAAGCTGAAAGCTGAATAAATAAGCTCTCCATTGATGTATGGTTTGTTAGGATCGGACAATATTTGGCCGATATACAACTATTTGAAAATCTGGAATCTGAGGGTGCAAAAAAATCTAAATATTGAGAAAATCATCTTTAAAGTTGTCCAAATGAAGTTCTTGCAATGCACATTACTAATCAAAAATTAAGTTTTGACACCAAAAATTAAAATTAGCCCATAAATTACTCACTCTCAAGTCATCCTAGGTGTATATGAATTTCTTCTTTCAGACGAATCCAGTCGGAGTTATATTAAAAATTGTCTTTGATCTTTCAAGCTGTTTAATGCCACTCAGCGGGTGTTGCATGCATCAGTCCAAAAGCAGTGAAATAAAATGCGCCCATCCCTTAAAAAAAAAAGTGTCTCACACGACTCCGGGGGCTGAACAAAGGCGCAAATGCGCAAAGCTGACCTCATACGTCACCCTCCCGGAGCTGCTTCTGTGTACAACAGTGAGCGCAAGCTAGATTAAATTGATTATTACGTTTTGAATATGGATAT